GAGACAAATTATTCAGAGCATTTCTTCTTTGTTAATGTTCATTTAGTCATTATTTGTGTGTGATGACATCAGACCTGTGTGTGAAGTAAAAACACAGCTCCCTGTGTGTGTGTGAGGTGTGTAACGGCCTCACAATATAAATGTAGAAGTACAGTACCTTGTACAGAGAGAAGGAAGACGACTAATCCACCGGCTGATGGACTCATAGCTGCTCCTCTGTGTTCAATCAGCAGATCAGAAACTCTTTATTCAGTAAGTCACCAGAAACACGTCTACATTAAAGAGGAGGCTGATGTCTCTGAGGTCAGCTCGTCTCTTCTGGAGTTGGTAACAAGCTGCTGTTCAACACCCAGCAGAGCTTCCTTCCTCTTTCCGTCATTAGTATGCATGAGCTGCAGAACAAGAAGCTGCTTTAATGTTAACGTCTTACTTCTGCTAAAAGGAAACATCATAAAAGTGTTGTTAATATGTGAAGATCATCTTGATGAACCTGTAAGCAGCATAAATGTCTCTTCATTCTCTAATAATTCACATTAAGTGAAAGGCTGCAGTGTGACGTCCTCCTGTTAGTTTTTTTTGACTGCTAAACGTCAGTTACCGCCACGCTACAGTCCGTGGACGGGCCTGAATGTGGACCACTTTGGGCCAGGTTGCAATACGTCTGCAAGCTGAATAACAGCCTTCAGTCAGTATATCAGGCGTTTCCCTCGGTTACCAGTCGGTCGGTCGATGAACCAACCAAAGAGACTGAAGATACTTCTGCTCTGTTTTCTGAGTTTGTCAATTTTAACGTTTCATGTTGGAAAGACAGTCGTTGATTCAGGTTGTTTAGACCACATCACGTGTCACTAAAGACAACCTGCACAATCAGTATGTATTACAGGTATCTAACCACATTATGTGCTAGATAGAGAATCAGTAGGATTGACCTTCTGGGGACAATGAATTTAGGGTGTTGTGCAGTCAATACTTATCACCAGGTGCCATCTCTTTAAAAACCTCAACCATTACATTACATTACAGGTCATTTAGCAGACGCTTTTATCCAAAGCGACTTACATTACACTTTAAACACACGGCTTTTTCACATTTTTGCCCAGGGGGGGAAATTAGGGGTCAGGTGTCTTGCTCAGGGACACTTCAACATGGAACATGGGGCAGCCTGGAATCGAACCAACAACCTTGTGCTTCCCAGCACACCTTCTCTAACCCCTGCGCCACGACGACCCCCGACCAGTGTTTTTGGGTATAAATCGACCTATTTTGACACACACAGACGCACACTCACACACGTCACTCCTCGGTGACTCCAGTCACTTCGGACCAAACCGCTTAGTTGTTAAAAACCCAGCGCTTCTGTCAGGGATGTTGCATGGGGAAAAGGCAGGACTCAAACGCAGAGTTTGCGGGGAAAAAAAAGGACTTTAATAGTCAAAATGCAAAAACGCAAAAGGCCAATGGGCGAAAACACACAGGAACAGGGGGCAAAAAGGCAGGCAGGAACGAGGACCATCCAGGACGATCGACAGGGACATCCGTGACATAAGACAATGACGCGACAAGTGACACAAGAGACACAAGAGACACACTGCTTAAATACACAAGGGAGGTGCAGGTGATTGGACACAGGTGGAAACAATCAGAGGATGACAGGACAAGGCAGGAAGTGAAGTTACCCAGGGAGACAAGAAGCAGAAAACTACAAAATAAGACAGGAAATAGAACCACACCGTGACAGATTCATGACGTTCTGCATTGCCTCTTGATGTTTTCCCCCTGAAACATAATTAAGAGTAAAAGATCCACAAGCTGTTTTTCCCCATCAGCTCCGATCCAACCATCTGTGACTTTGTAATTCCAGCGGATTGGAACATAATGGGGACACTTTAAAAAGTGCCTGTTCAGCATAGTGTTTAATAACAACATTGTAATTAGTTTGATTAGTTTGCAAACTCTTGGTTTTGTCTTGAAAGTGGCAACAGGATCAGGAGCATAAACTGTACACAGGAAGTCAATGTAGTTACCATAGCGACATGCGGACTGAGGCCTCTAGTTTGGCATGTTGGCCGTTTTAGTTTGTGACTAAATGTTGAGACCATAATAAATCAAGAGAGTCATTTCCTCATAGACGTCTATGGGAGCAGAGGAGTCGCCCCCTGCTGGTCACTACAGAGAAGTAGAGTCATTTCCTCATAGACGTCTATGGGAGCAGAGGAGTCGCCCCCTGCTGGTCACTACAGAGAAGTAGAGTCATTTCCTCATAGACGTCTATGGGAGCAGAGGAGTCGCCCCCTGCTGGTCACTACAGAGAAGTAGAGTCATTTCCTCATAGACGTCTATGGGAGCAGAGGAGTCGCCCCCTGCTGGTCACTACAGAGAAGTAGAGTCATTTCCTCATAGACGTCTATGGGAGCAGAGGAGTCGCCCCCTGCTGGTCACTACACAGAATGCAGCTTTAACGCGATCTGAGAGAGTTCCACTCCTCGCTGACTTTTATGGAGAAATATACATTTAAACTATTGCAAATTCCAACTAAGCACTCAGAGACAGACACACACGCACATCCCTGACAAACCACGTGTGACCACTTGATCGAATTTACAGAGCAATAACAAGATAAGAGCTCTCTCAATTTCATTTGGATTCCAGGTAACTGGCCCAGAGAGAGAACTGGTGGAACGTATACAGCTAATTAATCAGAGCGATAGTTAAACATGTGTTTCCTTTTAGTGCCGCACAATAAAACGCCCGTTGAGAAGCAGGAAAGCAGGCGGGCAGCGGAGGGTGGGGGGGCCGCAGAGCTTGACATGCAATTACCACCTCCCCTGTCTGGGCTCAAGCTAAAGGAAGCTAAGCAGAAGGACGGAGAAGAAGGGAGGAGGTGCTCACAGAGCTCAGGACCTTGTAGGTGGTCAGAGGGAGGTGTGCTCACCGCGTTCAATGGAGCTCCATTGGAGGGACCCACTGACGTGGTTATGCACGACATTCAGAGGGTAAAGTTCTCATGTTCTCACTCCCACCCCTTCAAACACACATTGAGCCATGATGCTCTAGTGCTCCTCTAAATGGACCATCTTTACTGAATGAACATCATGCTGTACTTGAGACTAGAACTCATGTTTACAATGTTCACCAAGGGAATAAATCAAGAGAGAGTTATTTTCTACCACTCCTATGGCACCAGAAGCTTCGCCCCCTGCTGGTCACTACAGTGGATGCAGCTTTAACTCGTGAAGTTTTCACTTCACTCTGCAGAACCAGATACTTGTTTCTACCTGTGACCAGAGAGGCTAGTTTCTAATAGAACGAGAATCTGCAGCCGTGATCGCTGCTACATGAGACTGAAAACCGGCACAGTGTTTCTTCGGAGGGAATGCAGCTTTAAGAAACTTCAAAATTCAAGTTTGAAACTGTGCAAAAAAACTTTCAAGTTCTCCAAAGCATTTTTCTGTTTTGCTGAGTTTCTGAAATCCTCTTTCTCCCCCTTTCTCTTCCTCTCTCTCCCTCTGCCTCTTTGCTGCCGTGGTTCGAACACAACGCCTGTCAAGACGTCATGTCGCTTTTGTTTTTGTACTTTTGTATGTTGTTTTTCACGGGCGTCGCTGTGCTGGAGTTGGTAATAAAGCCGCGGGCCCCCTGTCGGGCCACCTCGCCCCCCTTGGGGAACCAATGGTGCCTGGCCAATGCTGCGTCCTATTGGCTATTACGAAACGCCACCGCGGTCACATGACTTCATGTCGGGCTATAAAAGAACTCCACCGCGGTCACATGACTCGTCTCCACCACTACGCTAAAGGAACTTCAAAGTTCACGAGAGGGGCGTTGTTTTAAATCAGACAAATAAACTATAGAATGCCTGATTTCGGACCCATCAAACATTTAACACGTGTCTTCTCTCTGCCGTCCACCAGGGGGCGACTCCTCTGCTTGTATAGAAGAAGAACCACATATTTCTTGTATGCTCGACAGGGAACCGATTGGGATTCCAACACCTGGTGACCGTTGTCAAGCGCTGCTTGTTGCCTTTTCTTTGTGAGGATTATAAAAACACGTGATTGCATCGATCACACGGCCGTGGGACCAAACTGTACTGCCGGCCTTCGCCCGTTGGCCTCCCCCCATCCAAACCCTTCAGGCCGCTCAGGCATAGCTTGACTGACAAAAAGGTTCATCTCTTTGCTGATCTGCTAATTGGCCACGGTGCTCCGCTGCGACCTCTTCGGCGCCATCGGCAGCCCCGGCGGCTGCTTTTCCCAGCGTGCACCATCCCCTCAGGCCGGGCGCACGGAGCCCTCTACCTGGCCCCCGGCGAGGGGCAGATGTGAACAGCATCAAGCTCCCGACCTCCGCATCTGCCTCGTCAGCCCGTTAATTACCGGCTCACATCTGCTGGCCGTGGTGAAGAGGCGTGAATGTGCAGAGGAGCTGCAGAGAGCTCTGGATCCTTGACAGATGGGTAATCACTGTAGAGATAATAAGAGATGGATAATAATAAATGAAATACATACAGATGTGTTACATTAGTGTAATGTTTGTTCATAGTATTAGAACCCTCACATTCGGATAAGACCGGAAAAGGAAAATCAAAGCTTCATGTAGCAACGGTCCAAAACTGACATCACGACAAACGGAACGTCTCTGATCGTCATTCTTGCGTCCCAGAGCTGGACTCCCACGTTGGACGTTTTAAAAGCAAGAATCATTCCATTTCCTCTCCTGCGTTTTCCGTTTCAATGTGTAATGAACCGTCTGAATAAATCAACCCAAATGTGATTGGAGCGACGCGGCACACGGCCACACTGGCTGAATCCTGAGGGGGGGCATTAGCATGGAGAAAGCATCACAACAGAGAAGAGGTACGACTTCAATCAGCTGCAATTTGATCCCAGACCAGTGCACATGTGCACATGGTATTATTGGAGGAGAGGGCGCAGCCTCTGATCAGTGAACCATGATCTCACCATGTCCACCTGTCAGTCAGTAACATTGCGCAGTGCTGCTCGGCGAGTACTAGTACGGTAGTAGAAGTAGTAGCAGTGTTTTTATTGTCATTACACACAGTACAATGCCTAAAGTATACATACAAAGTAGGAATGTTTGAAGCAGATTTGTGCAATTCTCCTTCTGCTGGCTTTAATCATTTCTTTCCTCTGCACTGGTATTTACTTTTTTTAGTTTCTGCAAGTCATCTAAAAAACATGTCACATTGTGATAGAACGTGTCCCTTCAAATCCCCGGAGATTACTGCGACACGTGAGTAAAGTTTCTATTTCAACTTTTCTCATTTCATAGTCAGTGAAAACTTCAGTAATGAAGGAAATATTGATCACATATTTTAGGTTTTATATATATATATATATATATATATATATATATATATATAGATTGTGGCACTGCAGAGACCAACAGCGTGTTCATTTGTCTCATTTGTCCAGGTATACTGGCTGCAGAAGGAAATGGATTTTCCCCCAGAGGACCCCTGGAATCCAGTTCATGTGCAGGAAGCTTTCTCTGCAAACTTTGCTCACTCGGTGCCTTGACTGAACAACATAAGGACACATCTTGATGAGCAGATGTTTTCAGGTATAGTATCTACAACAAAACCTGCAGGGTTTTATTGGGATTGGACGTTCTGCAGAGTGAAGTCAAAACTTCATGAGTTAAAGCTGCATTCTCTGTAGTGACCAGCAGGGGGCGACTCCTCTGCTCCCATAGACGTCTATGAGGAAATGACTCTACTTCTCTGCAGTGACCAGCAGGGGGCGACTCCTCTGCTCCCATAGACGTCTATGAGGAAATGACTCTACTTCTCTGTAGTGACCAGCAGGGGGCGACTCCTCTGCTCCCATAGACGTCTATGAGGAAATGACTCTACTTCTCTGTAGTGACCAGCAGGGGGCGACTCCTCTGCTCCCATAGACGTCTATGAGGAAATGACTCTACTTCTCTGTAGTGACCAGCAGGGGGCGACTCCTCTGCTCCCATAGACGTCTATGGCTAAATGACTCTACTTCTCTGTAGTGACCAGCAGGGGGCGACTCCTCTGCTCCCATAGACGTCTATGAGGAAATGACTCTACTTCTCTCTTGATTTATTCCCTCCGTAAACATTGTAAACATGAGTTTATGGTCTCTAGTTTCAAGTCTTCTTCAACACAGCATGATGTTCATTTAGAGTCAAACAGACCATAACGCAGGGGAGGCTTTAGGGCGGGGCGACACGCTGATTGACAGGTCTCTACCAGAGACATATACAAAAAAACAACCAATAAGTGACGCCATGATGACTCATTCTTACATCCAGTCTATTTCTGCGTGTATTCTTCATGTATCAGGGTCCACTGTTTCATCCTTGTCATGGGGGACTGACTGGGGTCCGATACAGCCACATGTGTCTGTACGGTGGGAAGCGAAGGCCGTACGTGCTGCTAGCTGATTGGACGCAGCTGTGGAAGCAGGTGATTGGACCAGATGGTCTCCAGAAGAAGATTAACATCCAGAGGACGACCACGTCGCACATGACACATCCAGAGGACACCAACAGTTTTCATCACATTCAGGTGAAACGCAGGTTCTACTTCATTTACAACCTGCTGGCTGATCTTGAAATATAGAAATCACTATGAAAACTATTTCCTTGTTTGATGATATTTCTGAACGTCCACACTTCCACGTGTTTGAGTGAAGAAAGAAATCTCTCAAGTTCAAAAACGTGGGAAGTGAAACCCAAACTACCCGCATGTCTGAACGCAGCAACGATGACAAATTAGCAAGTGTTTAAAATACCTCAATTTAACTTCTTTGCAGAAACAAAAGATGCTATTGTTAAGACTAAATGTGACGACCAGCTAAGTGTTGGTCACACTTCTTCTTATTTAAAGAAATGATGGTGGGAAACGACCAATAAAACCTCCCTGGTGGGAATAGAAATGAAACGCACACGCGTGTGCAGTGTATCTCACTCCTGCACACCCCGTGTTTATGTGCACGTTGCCACATACCGTGTGGGGTTACGCCTTTGGCCCACGCTTCACATTCCGCTCCGCATCTCATTCGAAACACGCTCACAGGAGCGGAGGCTCCCCGTTATCTCCTCCTGTCACGTCCGCGGCCCATCATCTCTCTCCCGCCGCATTACATAACTCACATAACCCTCTTAAGGAAGGCCACGCCTCTCGGGGCAGAGCGAGCTGTGCCCGCTGGATGCCGCAGCAGTCACTCAGTTTAATTTCCAATAATGGTTAAAATCCCAACATTCCACCGGTGGTGGGGGGGCCTCAGTAGAGAGGTTGGGGGGACTCCGTTTTATCTGCGATCATCTGCTGCCCTGAGCTTCTCAAGGTCTTACCTCACTTCAAAGGTGGTCTGTTTGTATTGAAAAGGGAGAAGCTTGTCTCCAATCACACAAATCGAATCTGAATACAATAAATGTCCTTTGTTTCCCTTTCAATGTTTTCATTTATCGTATCAATCAGCGTGTAGCCCCGCCCTAAAGCATCCCCTGCTTTACGGTCTATTAGAGACCTGTCAATCAGCGTGTAGCCCCGCCCTAAAGCATCCCCTGCTTTACGGTCTATTAGAGACCTGTCAATCAGCGTGTAGCCCCGCCCTAAAGCATCCCCTGCTTTACGGTCTATTAGAGACCTGTCAATCAGCGTGTAGCCCCGCCCTAAAGCATCCCCTGCTTTACGGTCTATTAGAGACCTGTCAATCAGCGTGTAGCCCCGCCCTAAAGCATCCCCTGCTTTATGGTCTATTAGAGACCTGTCAATCAGCGTGTAGCCCCGCCCTAAAGCATCCCCTGCTTTATGGTCTATTAGAGACCTGTCAATCAGCTTGTAGCCCCGCCCTAAAGCATCCCCTGCTTTACGGTCTATTAGAGACCTGTCAATCAGCGTGTAGCCCCGCCCTAAAGCAACCCCTGCTTTACGGTCTATTAGAGACATTGCCAATCAGGGTGTAGCCCCGCCCATTGGAGGCTCTTACTTCCTGTTTCAATGATGGGAGGCGCTGTAGTTCCGGTTTGTTGGGCCGTGTAAAATGAACATCAATATCTACCTCATTACCTCCATGTTTCCCCCCGTGGTCCGGATGCTGGTCCCTGGAGGACGGAGCGACTGGACCTCCAGTCCCTTGAGATGTCAAAGCTCGAACAGCTGTAGGCTGAGGGAACGTCTCCATTAGAGAACATGGCGGGGCTGTCTTCTGGGATGTAGTCTGCTGATGGGGGCAGGGCGGGGTAGCTACAGGAAGTATCTAGTGAAGACTTTAAATGGAGGCAGGGGGACGAGGAGACGAGGCAGAGCTGGGAGTTAATGATCTTTCTGTATGCAAAGGCCACGGTTCAAAAGGCAGTGGGATGATGGGAACCCCATTAACTCCATGACAGAGTCTGCCTCGGGTAATAGTCTCCCCCGGTCTCCCTCTGGTCCTCGCCCTCCTCCTTTTCTCCCCGGAATGTCTCTCTTCTTGTTTTTACTTTTTCCCCGTCTGGGCCTTTTTTTCGTGCGAGTCTGTCAATCTGTCAAAGCGTCTGACCTTTACCAAGCGAAGGTGATGGTTCACTGAATGCTTTGACTAATCCACGTGTTACTCCAGAGAACCCAATTAGTTTGCCTCCAATGAGCAAACGCTCGCAAAAAGAAGGGTTTGTCAACTAAAACAATTTCATCAGGTGAAAGCTAACGCTAACGCTAACGCTGAAGCACTTCGAGCCAATGACCCACGTAGAAGGCATTGAAAGAAAAGAGCTTCATCGTGTGCGTATCACTGGTTTATGTTGAATAGATGTCAAACAGACCTGCAGAGACTGCTTTAGGGCGGGGCTCACTGTGATTGACAGGTCTTTACAGCAGCGTTGTCCAGTTGGAGCAAGTGGGTCTGGGGACAGACGATGTCACATGTGTGCAGACTGTGAAGCCCTCGGAGGCTAATTTGGCATTTTTGGCAATTAAACCAATTGAATTGAATCTTCTTCGTCGTGTCACTTCTGGCTGTAAAAAAGCAAAGCAATTGAAAAAAAAAAGAACTCTGGGCTCCAAAACTGTGGCCCCAAAAAATGTCTGCCACTGATGCCAAAATGTTGCCAATGGCGACCTGGCAGCCGCGGAGCGCCGCTTGGTGTCGGAACTCATTCATTCCCATTTAAAAGCATGCAGCCAGGAGGGGGTGGGTCGAACTCTGTAGGGCGATGTTTGGCTATATATCACAGGGGGGGGAGGGGGCAGACTCAGGGGGCGGGCCCACAGACGGGGCGGATATATCACAAGCACCCAGCCAGACAATAACTAATGGCGCCGGACCGGCTGCCAGACTTCAAAATGCCACAAACTGCCGGCATATAAATCATCGGACACACAAACAGTGTTTTTCTCTTCTTCTTTTTACCCACAAATTGTTGATACGAACAAAGTGGAAACTACTTATGCGGTAAAAACAGGTTTCTGTGCTTTGACCGAAATTGTGCAAAAGTGTGTCGCCTCTGCTTTGATGAATCCACCAGTTTGCTTGTTCATCTATCTAGAACACACTCACACTCCAACGGGATATCAATCAGGTGAGCGAGGGAGAAACTAGCCGCTCGATGTTGGCGGATGAGCTCGTGTGGGGGGGGGGGGGGGGGTAACCGAATCAAATCGAATCCCCTGTTTGCACAAACTGTCAAATCAGCCCGACTGCTGCGCGTCTCCCACTCGAGGGAAGTTCCTTTAAAACTGTTTTTCTTTCTACTGACATTTTTATCTCTGCTGAGGCTGTGAGTCAGACGCCTTACACACACACACGCAGGTACACGCAGGTACGCGCAGGTACGCGCAGAGCAGCGGGGCGCTGCTGCCCCCCAGTGGCCGACACGTGGAGCCACAACGAGGCGCCGATTCCGTAGGAAATAACAGGATTATAAACGCTGAATATGCAAACGGGATTTTATTAATACACACAACGGATCTAAACACGTGCATCGTTGCGGATACAGAAAAGCTGAGAGAGTGATGCACGATGAGCATTTAATCCAGATGTTCATCTTCTATTTCCACGTAAGCAACGTGCAGTAAATAACACTTTGGCCCTGAAGGCGTGTTTTTATGTCTGAGATGTTTGCACCAGGTACAAACTCTACACCCTGATGTATTTGTCACTAGAATACTAGTAGTATATGGCGTTATATTTGTGCCACAATCCTGAGGTAGTAAAGTATTCTGGTGCCAATCGTATGACTTTGAAGAACAGTGATTCTGGGTTGGACCTGGTGAGGGATCTACTGGATCACTGCGTCCTCT